AAAAAAACTCAAACTAACACTAAACTTTTATTAAAAATAATATTTTTTATGTAACAATTTTTTTTTTTTTTTTTACTTTTTGGCAATGGAAACAAATTTTATAACCAATTGTGGAAAAAAAATATCACTTTCATAAACAATTTCCATGTAAACAAAATCAACGAATAGAAAATTTAAAAATTTTTCGGATGAAAAATTATATCAATCAAACACAATTAAAATCATTTTCACTACAAAACATTTTCTAAACAAATCTTTTTCACCGTAAAATATTTTCTTTCCACTACTTTTCACCCTTACAATCAAAACCCACTCTGAACAAGAAACTAAGTGGGTAACAAACGTAAGTTTGAGGATGTTTCGTGAATGTTAAGAGTACATAAAGCTGCGTAAAATCGACCAAGAGAAAGGCAAAAAAAGAGAGATTCACATCTCATCCGAACTGTCTCTCTCCTCTTCATGTATTTTCTCATGTATGAACATTCGCGTCTCTATGAGTTGTTTGTAATTTCTTTTATTTGCGATTGATTTTACCTCATCTGTGATTTTTTATGTTATTTAATCCTGGATTTTAGAGGTGTACTGAATTAATCTTAAGCCAAATAATTCGTGATTGTATGTTAAGGAATGAGGAAATGGGGTTAAAATTCAGGAATATGCTTCGTTTAGTTGCGATTCTACTGATAACTAGGGTTTTAGTTTGCAATAGTTTCTGTTGGAATTCTTTAGTTGTAAGAGTTAATCTAGATGATTTTTTGTTCTATTATATTTGATGTCATGATAAATAATACACGATCAATTTAATATTGCACATTTTTTCTGTTAAGTGTGTATATATCCATCAGCATATTAGAATTACATTTTCCTTGGACTTTCAGAAATCTTTCTCATGTAGCTTGGGAGGAAATTTGGAATCATTATTGCATTAAGTAATGAATAAGATAATTGTTTGATAGGTCAAATTTTCTTATCTGCGATCTGGATTTCTTGGATAAAATATGGAGCTTCTGATGATTTGAGTTTTCAATATTTGATTGGCGTCCTAATTGTAGACCTTACTCCTTAAGATCTTAATTTGAATATCAACTAACGAGGTTTTAATATTGAGCATGAGCTTTTGATTTGTATGTTTAATTGGGTCCAATAATACAGTTTGCTGTATTGAAGGTCATTTAGTGATTTTTGACTTGATTTTTCTGTAGTTTAATGTTAAACTTTTGGTGAAATTGGAGAGATTACTTTCTTTTGATGATTTACACTGTCTTAGTTTGATAGGGGAATGTGATCATAATGTACTAGCTACTCGAACACAGTTTTTTTAATAGTACTAGTAATAATGTCTTATGATAAATATTGTTAAGCTCATAAATATGGATATAGCCATATACGTAACTAATTGAGTACGAGGTATATTTAAAAGAGAAGAGAGGTGGTTTTGTTTTGATGGGATAGTTAAAATACGGACTACAGAGCAATTTAGAAAATTCTTTTATCTGACTTTGTACAGTTGGTTTAGTGCCGCAACTAGTAATCCTATAGAGGGGTTGCCTAACTTTACAGAGCAACTTAGAGAATTCTTTTATCTGACTTTGTATAGTTGGTTTAATGGCGCAACTAGTAATCCTATAGAGGGGTTGCCTAACTTCATGTCTTTTCTTTCTTGTTTAAGTTGATAATACACTTCCTGTATATTCTTTTTTGATTAATAAAATTATTTGATTACCTATAAAAAAAAAAAAGTTTATTTGAAGGAGAGATTATGGAACACTAAGTCAAGGGTCTAATAGGAATTCAAAAACTTGACAATACGAAGATGGCGCTTTTGCTTAAAGTAGTACTGGAAAATAACTACCGGGCATTGTTGATTGATGCTCTTGGTTCTTAAGTGTTTTGTTAGGGTGATGATATTTTCTTAGTTGATTTTTGTTTGGCTAAAGTCATTTACAGCTTCTAGATGTTTTCTATTGATTTAATATACTAATTTATGCGTCATTGGCAGGCTTTTTCTTATTGGTCCGGTATAGAAAATGACTATGAATCAGCGAAATACAATTGATTTAGAGCAGGGATGGGACTTTATGCAAAAAGGGATTACGAAGCTAAAAAACATTTTAGAAGGGCTGCCTGAGCCGCAGTTCAGTTCAGAGGACTATATGATGCTCTACACGTATGCTTTTTATATTCCAAGTCTTCAATTTAACCTTTTAATTTGTAGGCTCTTGTGACCCTACCGTTTGTTCTTATTTTCCTTAAATCTTATGTACAGGACAATTTATAACATGTGCACACAAAAGCCTCCACATGATTACTCTCAACAGTTGTATGACAAGTATCGCGAGTCCTTTGAAGAGTACATTATATCAACGGTAAGGCCAACTTTTAATTTATTGGACAGTGGTATTTATGAACCTGCGTATTCATGTTTTTTTAAAAAATAAAAAAAATTCTTCATATTACACGAAGCTTTGGGTCTTCAATTGAGACAGTGCTTACTGTAATTTATATTTTTGTCCCATTGTTGGTGTTCTAACTTGTAAGGTTACAGATGTTGCTTCTAAATCTAAAAAGGTCATTTTGACTAAAAAATCCAACTGTGGTAAATAATATAGGATGGGAGAGTATTTGATCATCATATATGGCTTTCTTAGAGTTTAATAGATCATCTTGTTTCGTTCCACATTCTTGGAAGTTGATTACCCATCACTGTACAAAATGGTGAGCTTTTGATTGATACTCATTGTCCCACTTATCAAGAATGATTGATAATCATTGTCCAAATTTGCTATGAAAAGATTGTTATGTTGTGCATGTATCATCTATCATATATTAATTCAACGCAGATCCTCCTTTCCAGTTATAATGTGAGTGTTGAGAATTTAAGTGTAAAAGCTTTGTCTAATGCTGTATAAATGCTTACCCCTGCAATATTCTTCTGCTTTCAAATCAAACCATTCTCTGTGTCTCGAGCAATAACCCTTCCCTTCCCTAGTTTATATAATATTATAAACGCTTTGGTCTGTACAGAGAATCTAAATAAAAGATAGAACTTCCCACCATTTTCGTTGAAGACTTAATATTAGGAACTTGAAAAAATCTAGTAGCATCACCGTGAAACCCAGTTCAATGAACACTGCATTTGAATTTACTCTATTTCATCTCAAAGGTGATGCTGACCAATTGACATATCAAATTCTCCAAAGAGATTCCTCCTTATTCTGTAAAACTCATGTGCCTCGTTTTCAAACTATAACTTTTAAGGACTGAACTGACTAAATTCTTGAACTAGGGTCTGAGTGCCAGGCATGACACTTATACTTGGTTAAGTTTTTTCTCATATTGTGGCTCATTTTACTTTATCCTTTTGTATTTTGTTTTTCATTATTGGCCTTGACCTATTCTGTAACTTTTTTGCTTTTCATCTAGGTTCTTCCTTCACTGAGAGAGAAACACGATGAATTCATGTTGAGAGAGCTTGTGAAAAGATGGTCAAATCATAAAATCATGGTCCGGTGGCTGTCACGGTTCTTCCATTACCTTGATCGATATTTCATTGCTAGGAGGTCACTTCCAGCACTTAAAGAAGTTGGCCTAACATGCTTTCGAGATCTGGTAACTTCCATTTTTTATTCCTTCAAATTTGAAACAATTGCTTATTTGTGCTACTTGTTTCCTTCTTTCTGTCACCTTTTGTGTTTTAAGTTCATAAACAGTGTCGGTACTGGGGCTCTATTTCAGGTATACATAGAGTTAAACGGAAAAGTAAGGGATGCAGTTATATCACTGGTATGTTTCAGTCATTTCTCCAAGTGTTCCACTCTTTCTCTTTTGCTGTTCAGGTTAGTGAGTTATTTTTCTAATCAGATTGATCAAGAGCGAGAAGGCGAGCAAATTGATCGAGCTTTGCTGAAGAATGTATTGGATATATTTGTTGAAATTGGAATGGGGCAAATGGATTATTATGTGAAGGACTTTGAAGAAGCAATGCTCAAGGACACTGCAGCGTATTATTCTCGGAAGGCTTCTAACTGGATCTTGGAAGATTCGTGTCCAGACTATATGCTGAAAGTAATGTTTCCTTGTAAATGTAGAACTATGCCCCCTCTCCCTCTCAGCAAATATTGCATGTGCACCCATCCCGTCCAGAAAAACACTTCTTGTCTATGTGATATTTAATTATCTTATGGCATTCCAGGCTGAGGAGTGTTTGAGACGAGAAAAAGACAGGGTGTCTCATTATCTTCATTCAAGTAGTGAGACAAAGTTGCTTGAGGTTCGTTCTTTCTTAACTAAGTATGACGCCTTTATCTTTAGTTTGTAGATAATCGGTGCCCATATGCATTCCCTGAATTTCATAGTTCATTTCCGTAGATATTCTAATTGAGCAGTCTTTTCATTTTTATTAGTTTGATAACTGTTTCTTTTTTTTTTTTTTGGGTTCTGTAGAAAGTACAACATGAGTTGTTGTCTGTGTATGCAACCCAATTGCTTGAGAAGGAGCACTCTGGATGTCACGCGTTGCTCAGGGATGACAAGGTACTAAAATATTGTCATTGAATAAATTAGCTGCTATATAGGATTCCGAAGCACTGGACTTTATCTATGCTATTTTTAATCCACTAGGTAGAGGATTTGTCAAGGATGTATAGGCTCTTCTCCAAAATACCTCGAGGCTTAGATCCCGTCGCTGCGATATTTAAGCAGGTTTGTTATCTTCTATTTGTACTTCACTGCTTTTTGCTATAATTTATGAATATGCCCTCTGTATCTAATATATACTCGTTTCCTGAGTGCAGCATGTTACTGCTGAAGGTACAGCTTTAGTTAAACAAGCAGAAGATGCTGCAAGCAATAAGAAGGTTTGCAATTTTTTGTCCTTTTGTCAGATTGTTGGTTGTATAGCTTCTCTCAAGAATGTACTAGCAATTTTTTCCTGGGTTATAATCAACTTATCGTAATGACCAATTGGCTAGTCACCTCTAGGAAAAAATATTAGCAAATAGACATGTGAAATTATCACTACACATTCTGTCTTCAACATCATAGAGTTTCTTTTGCAGGCAGAAAAAAGAGATGTCATTGGATTACAGGAACAGGTAATTGTCCTGGAATTCTTTTTAAGTGCCATTAACGTTTCACACTGTTGGACTGACTTTATGTTTGGCGTTCAGGTTTTTGTCCGAAAAGTTATTGAACTCCATGACAAATTCATGGCATATGTGAGCGACTGCTTTTCAAATCATTCACTCTTCCACAAGGTTAGGATGTTGACAATCTTCATGATTGTTTTACTATTATCCGTACAGTGGTGTTGATATGATTTTCCTATTATTACGTATTTCTAGGCTCTCAAGGAGGCCTTTGAAGTCTTCTGCAACAAGGGCGTTGCTGGAAGTTCTAGTGCAGAACTTCTTGCCACATTTTGTGATAACATTCTCAAAAAAGGTGGGAGTGAAAAATTGAGCGATGAAGCCATTGAGGAGACATTGGAGAAGGTGTGTTTCTTGTCTATAACAGTATTGCTTTGTCATTTATTTGCTAAAATCCGTGGAAAACTGTGATTGAGGGCCTGTTTACTTTTGCAGGTAGTAAAATTGCTTGCTTATATTAGCGATAAGGATCTGTTTGCTGAATTCTATAGGTAAATTTCTGACTTCATGATTGTTGGTTGAATCATTCAAGGGCATGGTACATTTTATATGCTAAAATTATTGATTTCTATTGCCCTTTTTGGCAGGAAAAAGCTTGCTCGGCGGCTATTATTTGATAAAAGTGCCAATGATGAGCATGAGAGAAGTATCCTTACAAAGTTGAAGCAGCAATGCGGGGGTCAATTTACATCAAAAATGGAGGGGATGGTGAGCCCTTGGGTTATCTATGCCGAATAAGAGGTGGTTCAAAAAATAACCTCTCTTTTTTTTCTCTCTTCTACCATTGCAGGTGACAGATTTGACACTAGCAAGGGAAAATCAGACGAGCTTTGAGGAGTATCTCAGCAATAATGCAAATGCAAATCCTGGGATCGACTTGACTGTTACTGTATTGACTACTGGTTTCTGGCCCAGTTACAAGTCCTTTGATCTTAACCTCCCGGCTGAGATGGTATGGTCATGCATGATCTTGTTTCACTTATGTTTATGCAAATTGCTATAGGATGATGTCACTTACATATTTTGTTTATTATTTTTTAACTTCTGCATCAGGTCAAGTGTGTTGAAGTCTTTAGAGAGTTCTACCAAACAAAAACGAAGCACAGAAAACTTACATGGATATATTCATTGGGCACTTGCAACATCAATGGAAAGTTTGAACCCAAAACTATAGAGCTCATTGTGACAACTTACCAGGTTATTGACGACAGCCTAATTTTTCATTTACATGTAATCTGTATGGTTGATATAATGTTGATCTTTCATGTTTTTAGGCTGCTGCCCTACTGCTATTCAATGCCTCAGATAGGTTGAGTTACCAGGAAATCATGACTCAGTTGAACTTGTCAGATGATGATGTTGTTAGGCTGCTCCATTCGCTTTCATGTGCAAAGTATAAGATTCTTAACAAGGAGCCAAACACCAAGACGATATCTCCAACTGACGTTTTTGAGTTCAATTCAAAGTTTACGGATAAAATGAGAAGGATCAAGGTGATTCCCTCCCGCTACCCAAAACCTACCTTGACAATTACCACGAGCACATAAAAGGAAACAAATGAACATCGATATGCCCAAAAACAAATTCAATAGACTTCAATTAAACTAAGTTGTGAGAAAAAGAAGTGGAAAAAATAAGAATTCAGATTCATCAAATATTTTCAATCCAATCCTTGTATTATTCGTATCGGTTAAGTTTTTGAATGAAAATAGCAGATCCCTCTCCCTCCTGTCGATGAGAAGAAGAAAGTAATCGAAGATGTTGACAAGGACAGGCGATATGCTATTGATGCTTCAATTGTACGTATCATGAAAAGTAGAAAGGTCTTGGGCTATCAGCAGTTGGTTATGGAGTGTGCTGAGCAGCTGGGGCGAATGTTCAAGGTACGCTTCAGATGTCTGCTTCTCCTACTTCACTTGCATGTTTGGCTGAGCTTTAAAATGACTACTCGCAAGTAAATGGGGAAGTTTAAAATAAATAATGATTTTTGTCGAACAAAGTTAGAAATTTACTTGCTTCGAAAGTGACCCCTAACTCAGTAAAAAATGTATTTTGTTCTATAAAACACCAACTTATGCAAACGTGTTTGAAAAGATATATTTATCGAAGAGTGACTTTCAAGCTCAGCCAAACATGCTTTTCCTATTTAACTGACAATATTGTTAAAATGTGAATGTGCTCGCCACAGCCTGACGTTAAAGCAATCAAAAAGAGGATCGAAGATTTGATTACAAGGGACTATCTGGAAAGAGACAAGGATAATGCAAACTTGTTTAAATACTTGGCATGATTCGGATGTTGGATAATCCAATTGAATCAATGCAAGAGGAAGTGCATGTTCATCAACCTAGAAAAGTACTGTAAATGTTGTCGAATGTTCTGATTTACTTTTTGAATGATTTATTAGACGAGGGGGCTTCAGAATTCACCTTAAATTTAGTCGAGGATTGGAAAAATATGTAATATAACCAGTTCTGTTCAGTTGAAGAATTCAGCTTCCCTTTTCGTATTCATAGTGCCTGCCAGTTCTTGTAGGTTTTTTCGTTGGATATTGGCCTTTGTTGTTAGGTTGCCTTTCCATGGGGTGAAGGCATGACTAAAGCCGAAGCAAGCCCAGTTTAGAGATAAGTTGGTGTTTTGCTCAGCATTTTTTCTCTCTCTAAAATACAACAAATTAATTATTGAAAATAAATTTAAAAATCGACTATCAACCAACCTCACCCACTGCTGAACCAACTTAATCCACTGAATCAAACTTCTTTCTACGCCGACGTCTGGCTCATCCCTATCCCTTGTGTATGGGAATCTGGTGCTTGCCAATTCTAAGTTGACTCTCCCCATTTCACTCCATGGATGGTACATTATTTCACTAATAAGAAATATTGAAAAATTACTTTTACTAATTAAAAAATAATAATAAAGTAACAGGAGTTGATATTTATTGAATCCATTTCAAGTGCATATCCCAATTTTTACACACGGTTTGAAAATTCAGTGGAAGCGACTAGGCATATTGTGTGTCAATTGCCAGTTAGCCATCAAGGACATAGTTATTGAGGTTCATTTACCAATATTGTATCTAAAACAGTTGTTCGAATTCCTCATGAATGGTAAAGTATGAAGCCACAAATTGGACTAATCGAGCATCAAGTTACAACAGTATGCAAGAAACGGTAAAACAAGAAGAGAGAATATAAAACGAAGAATAAGACTAAAGCTATATGTTGTAAATCTCGAGTCATTGCATTGTCGCGCGGCGATGCACGGCTATTCGAGTCAAGGACTTAAACAGTAAGCTTTTACTGCTCCTAGTTTACCGTTGAGAACGTGTTAAACTGCATTTCATCCCCACGTGCAAGAAATCTGAAATGAGTGAAAACAAATTAACATTTTGCTTCAGACATTAAATGCAAAATGAACAAGTTCAATAGAAAATTAAAATATAAATTCTTAATCCCAACAAGCATTTTAAGACCACGTCCCGGATGCAATGCACCGCTCATCAAGTCGAGCACGATAGCAGTAATTTTTTGTGTGTTTAGGGAGTAGTTTATTGGGTTGAAGTTGGATTCTTGGATTAAGTGTGTCATGTCGGATTTTAGGATATGGGTGGATTAGGGTTTTGGGAACTTTGAGGATGGAGGTTGGAGTTCAGGTTCCTTCCCGATATGAGGGATTGGGGAAGTGGCGCTACAATGATTCCAGTGTTTTGAAATCCTTCACAGATATTGAACCGGAAAATGTAAAGGGTAAATGATCAAACGGTTCAATTGAGCTTTAGAAACATTCTAGATAACGAAAAACAGCACATTATCTTGGCCAGTTAAAAAAGCCTAGAAAGGGAAAGATTAAGGAGTGTACAGCTCAACTGCATGAACTCAAAAGACGCAGTAAATCAAAAAATGTAAACAAGTTGTCCCTTTCTTCTTTGGAAATGAATTTTGAGAAGAAGAGTTGCCTACTCAAAAAAGGGGAGTTTCGTGTACGTACAGAAGGCTCCAGAAAACCAAAAGTATCGCTTCATAAACAAGACAGCATCTTTCAGAAATTCCCTGGGTATTTCTTTCTTTTAATAGTACGCTCTTATTTGATATTCCACCCAGCCAACATCTTCGTGAGGTGAGTGATTGAGGAGTGCAGCACTACGGTCCTTATTCTATTCCTTCTTCAGATTAGGGAATAGCGGCCGACAAATCCAAGCAACCACTCAAGGAACTCCTCATTTCTAACTGCACAAAGATAATAAGCTCGGAAGAGAAGCATTAGAGATGCTCTCAAGAAGCACCTTAAGTGTCATTAATTGCAAGAAGGACAAGTTCAACAGAACATTACAAAACAAAAATAATTGAGATATCAACCATATCTAAATTCCACCAAGCATTTTCAGACCACATTGAAGATGCAATGCTTGTAAACAACCAAGATGATTCTTAAACTGGCAATAAATCGGAAGCAAGAAAAACTAGTTCGATTCATCTACCATTTACAGCACAAGAGGCCATTTCCGAGAATGAAAGTATCAGTTTCTTACTGCAGATGCCAACAGTCCAACAGTGTAAAACAATAATGAGAGCATAACGAGGTAGAGAGCTATTACCACAAGTTTCACATGATAAAAGAGAGACCGAAGCCTTACCTTGTTATCTTCAGCACTTCAAATTCAGAAATATAGCAAGCGCCAGTATAGTGAACAATTTGCTTTGGAGAGATTTTTATAAAATCGTTTCCCCATAATCCTTTCCAACCATATTCTATGCGACCCATAACTTTTCCCTACTTTTTAACTCCGTATTCTCCAAAAACATAATTCTCTCTCTCCCAAACAATTGCTAAGTGCTTGTTTGCCATAGCTTTTTCAAACTTATAAGCTGGTCAAATATTATTTTTATCCACACATTTCATAGGACTCACAACTTTTATCCACATATTCTGCAGGACCCATAGCTTATAATCTACAAAAAGCTTTCCGAAACATACTTTAATACTTGCTTTATGAACCTCAATTATCAAACACGAACTTCCCTATCATCTGCATTTACAGCAAAAGTAAGTGATGTTTGGTGAACCACCCACTAATAATACTTGCTTTTATGAACCTCGTTCATCAAACACAAACTTCTCTATCATCTGCATTTATAAGCAAAAGTAAATGATGTTTGATGTCAACAGTCATAATAACAACATAAAATAAAAGGGAAAAATAAGAATCAAAATTGCATCAAATTCTTACAAATTGACCATGCTCTTTAATTTCTCAAACTCAAAAAATGCTGGAGTGGATTGTTGCAGAATACAGAAAATTTCAAGATCTTGCAGATTAAGTCCCTTTGAGCTTGTCTATGCCTTTTGTATTGCCATAGAAGGTCCACACCAATCAAGCATGGTAAAGTCTACCAGCAGAAACACGGGCATAAAATATGCAATTCGTGAAGTGAATAACAGAAATTAGATAAGATTACCCCTCGAAGACCACATGGCCTGTAGAAAGTTGCAGTGCAATATATGAATTTATGTTCTATATACAAAAAGAGAGAAACAAAAGGAGCACCATTTATTTACAATTGAATCAGACACCTTCAAAACTTTTCTTTTAATAATATTGGAAAAATTGATAAAAGTAGATGGGAAAGAAATAGCAAGTCCTTAATAAGATTGGACGAGTCATGACTACATTGCAACTCAACCTCAAATGTCACTAATTGCTCTAGATCTCTATAATACTCTAGACCCAAATAAAATAGAAACCAAAAATCAAAACTGCACTTTTACATTTACTCCAAGTCTTGTACTTGAACATGTAAAAATTCCATTGCTTGCTATGTCCACGCGGTCGAATCTAAATTTTGAGCATGTCGTGCCCTTATCTTGCTAAAGAAGCTGAACATTCAAATATATATCATATAATGATGAACCAATCCCATGTTTGTACACATGTCCAGAAATGAAACAGGCGGTTAATGTTATGTTTCTTCACCAGACAGCAAGTGCATGGGCATACACTTCCAACTTGTATCCAAAGCCCAGCTCACACAGAGAATATGCTAGTGAAACACAACTATATACAGTTGCCTACTCTCTATTGCCATTGAAACCTTGACGATTGACAGCCTTAAATGCAAGCCGTACCAAACATACAAGTTCCTCTACATTCTGAAAGCTGAAGTCGATAACCCTCTTAACAGAGCCGATACCCTCTTTATCCTGAGCATCTTCTGGGTTCACATTAGCAGCTGCAAAAGCATTCTGGGATTTTCTGGAGGCCTCCATTGCAGAATTCACATCTTTTGCCTGCAAGAGAGCAAATTTGAGATGTTTACCCCATTGTAAGATTCCATAAAAACATACTGGCATCAAAACATACAACAATGGAAGTCTAGATCTATCAGTAATCCTAGAGAACATAAAATCTGTCACCAGCAATGGAAAACAAAAATGTCTATGCATCTATCAGTAAAGGCCACTTGAAAACACAATGAAACACAATCAAATGATTGAAAATAAGTACCTCTGCAAATTCTATTAACTTCAGTTGACTTCATCCGAAGTTTATATGCCACTCACATCGTTCAAATCAAATGCCAGTAAGGATTGCAAAAAATAGGCAAATATCTTAAACATCAACATCCACTTACGAAGTCAAGAAGCCGAATAAGGTTGGGGCGGTTTCGAGGCACTATAACATGATTCCCAACTTGAGAACCATTGCCTTTAGACAAAACAGCTTTATCGACCATTAAATTGTTCAAGTTATCAATGTCAGATGCAGAAGATGATGGAGATTCACCTACATACGACATCAAAAACAGTCATTTAGAATAATTTCAACAAATCAGGCAATGCAAGTCAAAAAATAAACAATAAAAAATTCAATGAAATTGCATTAGCGAGGAAATGCACATGCTCCGTGTAGTTAGGGAGGATAAATTTTAACAAAATGAAACAAAGCCTCTGTTCGACTCCCATTAAAATAAAACTTTTTATTTCTCATACTCATTTTCAACCACACATTCACACAATAAAATATTCTGCACGTAAATTCAAAGCTTTTCTCTACTTTTTAACCACGCATTCTCCAAAATATCACTATTCAAAATATCATTTTTCCTCAATTTCTCTTTATAATGGCCATCAAGTAGGGCAAAATTAGATGTACAGTAATATCACTATCGTCTATCAATAATCTGAAGATGGGAGGAGGAGAGGGAGAGGGAGAGGGAGAGAGAGAGCATTCTTTCTTGAAAGTTATAGCCAATTAAGCCAGAAAAATAGTGCTGTTAAGGAGAATTAAATTAGGGCTTTAAGAAAAATGCTCAAGTCATGTGTTGATAACAGTACAACAAATGAAGATGACAAAAAGCATGAAAATAACAACTTGCCTTCACATGATACGAAATGATCATACCTTGCAGAGCAGATGGCAAGCTTGCTTGCAAATCATGCAGAAATCTGTATGTAGTCGAATTTTTGCAATAAACTACCCTCATGTAAGCCACCTCCATGCATTTGTAGGCCAGTGCACAAGCAGCCATTTCTTGGCGTTTTTCATATTCATGGGCACAGGTTCTGCAAGGTATGTAAAGCTCATTAAGAAAGCTAGAAGAGGACAGTGTGTTTAAAAAGCCTCTTACCTACTGCAGAATTTCAGACTAATTTTACAGTCATGCTCAAAAGATGTTCAGACAATACAATTCTTTAACAAAAAGAAGGATGGGTAAATCACATTAATTTTGTTTTTTCAAGGAAACTATTCTGTAGTGGGCACTCTGAACCCTCAAGTATAAAAACTTGAGCAAGTCATGTATTAAAAGCACTTTTCATCTAAGCACAATTTTATCCAGAAACTGAATATGAGCTATTACAGTGCTAAAGGGCACTCACTCGCAAAGTTTGGCAGTACTTCTATACATTTGCATTTGATTCATCTCCCCGTACTTGCTAGTTTCACTATTGCACGCCTCTAAAAGTGAAGCACCGTGAAGAAATTTTAAAGCAGCTTCGAAGTATGCCTCGTTACTTTCAAAAGGAAATCCAGATTCCTGCACCATATCATATAAGAAAAATCTAGAAATGTACGTGGAAACTTGGTCGATTGGATGTTCAAAAGGGACTCAAAAGCTGACAATATTAAAAAGCCTCGAGATAAAAATAAAAAAGCAATTATTAAACCTTTAATAGAAGGAAAAAAATGCACACAGAATAAGGAGCAATGTGAAAAGACCTTGAGACGATCAGCATAATCTCTGAGATTTTCAGCTTCTTTCAGAACACTAGTTGGAGTCAGACTGGAGGAATTCTTGTTAGCAAGGCTAACAGAACTAAGATGTCGACTCACAGCCCCATCAGCCACATTATGGACATTGAAGTTGCTAGTTCCATGCTGATGACATATATTAGCTGGCTCTTCTGATACCTTTGATAAATCACCAACTACAGAAGTATCAAGTGGTTTTAAATCTGTAAAATTTCCTTCCAGAGATCCTGGCACTGATTTGCTAGGAGGCAATGTGTCTTGTTTATCTCCTCGACAGTTGTGATCAATAAATGCCTCTTCTTTCAAATTTTTATTTGCATTCAAGTGTTCCTGGTCGATCTGTGGACTGGAAACCCTCTCTGCCACTCTCTCATTCTTATCCATGGGCAGCAAAGAGGTACCCCTTTTAGAGATCTGTTGAGATAACACAATATTAGAACGGTTCTTGTTCATCCTCTCCTTGCTATGGCTGCGCTCTGAAACATGCATACTGGTGGGACATAGGCTATGTTGGTCCAGTATGTCACCATTGTTATGAACAAAAGAGCCATTGCCATATTCAGAGGGAGTATTAGTGCCTGATTCGTGTTTGCCACTGAATTTGTCTCTAGCGCCACTGTCCCGAAAATCTAGCACAGGATGTTCAAAAGACTCGGGAAGACCACTGGTAGCTTTTCCCTTCCTGGCTGTCCCCAAACGATTGCTCACAAAATTTCCATTCTTATCCAGAGATTTCCTTGAGCTTCCCATTGTGGAGAAGTCGTTGAGCCTAGAATCTACTTTCTCTATAGTCTCCATCCTTGCTGGTAAAACCTTATTCAGATAAGAGATCCTCATGGGAGATGAGGAAACAGACTCTTCAGGTGATCCTTTGACTTCTTTGCAATTCCCTCTGGTTTTACGGGAATCCGAAACCTTAGAGGAGCTGGAAGTGGCAGCCATTGATAAGGGTTCAGACCCCAAATCCTTCCGCAGTGATTCTATATCATCCATGGTTAGCTGCACTGGAAACTTTGCTCTGTATTTTCTTACCTGCCGTTCTTTCTCAGTACTCCTGACATATGGAATTTCTTTATTCCCAGATAACAGAATCTTATTTGCTGTGCTTTTTCTTTTTGGTATTATATCATTATCCTCAACTTTTCTGAACTCCTTCCCATCAGTCTGAGACACCATGGACTTCTTCTCTCTATGAAATCCAATATTGCTGCTCTCCTCTTTTACAGATACTTTGCTGTTTTGAAGGTCACATCCATTACTTTGCAGTGTCAGTAGATAATCCTGACTGCCTTGAGAATCCTTCAATTTTCTCTTCTTTGAAGAAATTTCCCTTTTATTGCATGCGTTAATATCCAGGGACCCATTATGGGGTAATTCCTGCACATTATCTCTCTGTTTTTCCCCAGAAATTTGTAATTTTTCTCTCCCCTCAGATCTTGAATCAAGTACCCTCAGTTTTTTCTTATCCTTCAAAGCCGCCTTATTTGGCAAACCGGAAGACGAACTGTGGTCAACTCTACCAAGATCCCCACCAAAGGTCTGAAAGTCATCCAAATCCATTGCAGGTTTAATCTTTTTCACATTTGAATGTACATGCTGATCAGACTCCCTCTTGCTTTTCTTCCTTGGATTTGCATCATCTGCGAGGATGTTATATCAGAAAACAGAGTAAACGATCATAAACAAAAAATGAAGGGCAAAAGGAGATGCCAGCCAAGATAAATAACATACCTCCAACTAAATGCTCGTCTTTTCGTTTATTCAATGATTTTGCCATGACAGCTGATGACTTATTCTGATATTGCACATTAGATTTGTTAATTAGATTGGGTGCTGCTTGAGGCTGGTTGCCCTCCTTTAGACTTCTGTTTTTCACTGGCTGCAGTTGGAAGTTTTTGTTTAAGTTTGAAGAAGGAATTGGATCACTGATACCGTCAGTGTTTGCTGTTTCTTTAAATTTGTGTTTCTTCTTTCCCTCATCAGTGATTTGGTCAGAATCAAAGTTTTGCTGGTTCTGACCGAAACGATTGCTACCACCTGAAGCCACTCCATTTGTGGTTTTGTCAGCATGAGTTTGAATATTACTTTGATTATCAGGGAAAGGAACCTGGTATAAAGCATAAAGAGCTTTTGTTGTCTCATCTTGGCTGATGTCACAACGGTTCAACCCTGGCCTGAAGATAATCCAAAATCTTATCAAGCTTAGGCTTCAGCAGTTCAAAGTTTATTCGTGCATGTTGATGGAACGCATCAAACAAATCCTTTAAAAAAGGAAGTTATGTAGATTCTTTATAACACAGACTCGTGCAGTGTGGATCTATGCGTCATGTGCGAGTTGTCAACTTTTAGGACCCCAGGAATTAGTGAAAAGGCATAATGTATACACTATTCAGAAAAATTATTAAGAAAATATAAAAGATGCTCTAAAACAATGTGCATATGATTGATAATAGGAAGAAAACTGAAGCTTCAAAGTAATTGTAGTTTTAGCTTAGTTCTAGACAAGTTAAATAATATTGCGTCTTGTTGTGTCAGGCAAGGGTATGGCATGATAAATAACTTTGACATAAATAAATAAACTAACATGAAACGTTGCTCCTGCAAAAAGTCGAGCGGTAAAAATAGTGCAGCGTGAAATTCATTTTGAAACAGAGGGAGTGTCAAAACTTGCCCAATGAAATCAAATTGTCGAACAAATATATCAACTTTATCACCAACAAAGCTCTAAAAGTGCACTAGGAAAGAACTTACAGCCAGTTTAGCATGCTGCAAACCCACTTATCAGGTAGATTCTGAGGCACAGTACCAATTGGCAAAAGACGCCACTTCTGACACCTGTCACAAGCGACCCAATGTTCTTCTATGAGAACACCAGCCACAGGGGTCTGTTCAGTCTCAGGAATGAGTCCTTTGGCAGGAGGTGGGGTATCAGCTGGGGGACCCTTCAAATTTGTTCCAGAATTTACCTGGTTGTTTAATTTTTTACTAGTTGCTCTCGTTTTGAATTTATCAGCAGATGCATGCTTTTCCTTGACAGTCTCGAGATTAGAGTTCTTTGACCTATCATCAGAAGGCCTCTCCAGTGATTCCTTCAGGATATTCAAATGTTCTGATCTTGTGTCAACCACATCTTTATGACTGTTATGGACTTTACAGGAATCCTTTTTCGCAGTCAATTTGTTTTTTGTAGCAGAAGAAACATCGCCCCTCAAACTTTCCTCCACTAAATTTGAATCCAGTTTGACACTACTGTTACTGCCCTTTGACTTCTTTTGACCTTGCAATGATAGCTTATTTACGGCAGGAGACATCCTCAATTCATCCTGTTCTCCAGATGTAGCTTTCAGAATACATTTCTGACTCAAAGGATCCATGGCTCCTCTGGAAACCGTCTCACCATCAGAAATATCAGAGTTGGCTTTAAATGAAGCAGGAACTTTCTTACCTCTGCTTCTGACACCATTCCCGTGATCAATTGAGCCATCTTTCTGAGAACTTCTTATATGTTTCCCAACCTTCTCTGCAGATCTATTTTTGGGCTCCTGGTAGTTATACTTTCCACCACTCTGGCCAGATATTGATTCAAAGGAGTCTGCCTTGACCACATCAGCAGATCCTACTCTTCCTTTCGCACCATCCTTATTTCCCTCCATCTTCCTCACTGGGACATCCCTTTCAAACTCCCTGATAGTTTCAGGTGTCCTAACAACACCTTTCAAAGACTCACCAGCACTGCAGTCTGAATCTGATAGAGGCTTGCAATTTAAATCATCAGATGACTGCAGCCTGCATTCCAGAGTCTCAGTTCCCGAATTTTTCTTATCTTCTTTTATAACCATTCCAGGTTCAATTTTTGACTCAAATTTTGCTCTCTTCTCAACAGATTTGGTTTTCTTCCCTCTCAAAACATCCCCATTCCCAAGCCTAGGATTTGCATCATAAACAGGTACAACAGAGTGATTGTGCACACCCTTGAGGGAAGCTGCAGGCTCACTATCTACTGAAGAACTTCTCTCTCTTATTAAGTTGAGCAACTCTTCATGAAGAGGTGAAAGCAGGACTCCAGAAACTGGGAACGAAATCATTAGCTGTTCCAAAGCATATAGAGAACAGAGAGAAAAAAACATAAGATATCGACTTCTCCACATGTGATGTAGTAAGAAGTATAATAATCAACAAAAAACGTTTTGGGTTAAGAACAGATGTGGTATTGTTTCAAAGTTAGAAAGCATATGAAGCCGCATATGCAATATAAATTTGCAACTAGATGGAGAAGAATTTTTTCACTTAATTCTTATTTATCTTTCAAAGTTGCTCCTTGTCTCAGGGTGAGAAGTGTATAATGAGTAAAAGTCGTTTCTTTGTTTTTTTAGAAGTATTTACTTAACCTGAAATGGCATGTATAGGAGCTAGGGAGTGAGGAAATCATTCTGAAAATGACTGGATTTAATTGGGAAGCATCGGATGGTGTTAGTCATCTACGAAAAACAGAAGAAAACATACCTCAAGGATTCTGGACGGAGATTCATCAGGGATCTCATGAGGTTCACATGAAGTTCCACCACTTTCCTCAGGACTGTTTCCCGCTGAGGAAGATGGAGATATAAGCCCCAGACCACTGTAGATCGCAACATTCCTTTGTGTTGTCCTGTCAGAACCCACTTTGATACGAACCTTTAATTTTCTTTGGTCAGTTTGATTGTTTGATTTACTTGAAGGAAATCCAGGTTCAATGGGACAAGACTCAGCAACTTGACCAGACAAGAGAGCATCTTGTCTGATTGATCCATCTACTGATGAGGCCTTTAAATTTTGTAAAGAACGTACAGCAGGGGAAGCATTAGCACCATTCCTATGAGAAAAAGCCTCATTTGGGAGCACCCCAGAATGATGGGGGATACCCTGTATGGTAACACAGCCGACAAAGCTAAGTAAATGAGAATTTCCTAAAGACAAACAGGCAGCAGAATATTTCTCATACTGCCGTATGACCTGCAGATAAGAATATGTTTTGTCCATATACCTCCGGAGGAAGACAATTAGGAGATCTTGGCGTGCTGGGTTTTTGAACTCTTAATGGAGATTTTGGCTGAGACCAAACAGAAGGAGAACGTTGATATGTTGGTAAGAACGAACCATACCCACCAAATTTTGCCCCTGCCAAAATAAAAAGATTCAGGCTATCAGTTGTCGAATAAGAAAAAGTACGATAATACCACCCTTTTCCTTCCAAGACTCCCATTGTAGGTTCACTTACCCAAATTTTCAGCGGAAACTCCTCCTTCAAAATCTTTCTGAAAATGTCCCAAAATACTTTGAACCTTGTCATCCTTAATAAACAGAAATCCAGCACTTAAAAAAGTCTTGATATACAAAATGTCAAAAACAACTAGCCATAAATTCAAGTTACAAGAGCGTCAATGAGTATATACGACACTGCACAACTACATTATGCATTCAGTTAACTGGTATCTGGCTTATGCTAACTGCAAAAGATATAAAATGCAACCATTTCTAACAACAATAAGTTTGTTCTAAATTGCACATTTCAAAATCCATTTGACTAACTGCAATGCTGCTAGCAACCATGCCAAAAATTAAAAGTGTGAGCCTCGTGACTAAATTATGATAATATTTGATTCTTCCATAAAATTTATATTACGTTCTAAGGTTGACAAAAATTGCTGAGTTTGATTCTTTTACATCGTCCAGCTGACACTCTCAACAGCTAGCCATTAATTTTTATTTTATAAATAACCTGCCAAAACATTTGCACTTCATAAAAACCAAGGTACATGCAATAACTGCAATTCAGATCGACGCATTTTATTTTCCCTCGGATGTTCAATGATCATATCCAATCTGCACTCACTTCCTCACCCCAATTATACTTAGATTAAGCATTTTCAGACACAATTCAAGCCATCAAACCATCTAGTTCAGTTTAATCAATTCAAATTCCCTTTCTTTGCGATTCATCTTTCTTTTTATTGGACGACCAAACATGTTGGAAATAATTAGTTCACGAGTTAAATAATAAAAATTTTGAAAATTTAATCTTTCGTCCACGGAAAAAAAAATTAGATAAAAAAAAAGAGAAACTCTTACAAGGTAAGAGAGAGCTACATCAGGGTCAATGCTTGTATCATCCTTGTGATAGCAAGCCTCTCCTTCTTCAAGTTCGGGGTCTTGAATCATTTTGGGGCCACTTCCCCAACCTTCCATCTCGGAAAGAAACCCTAACCCTAAATTCCAACCTCAAGATTCCCAAAACCCTAATCCACCCTCTATCCTAAAATCTAACATCACACTTCTTAATCCAATAATCCAACTTCAGCCCAATAAACTACTCCCAAAACCCACCAAGGAATTCCCCTCAAATTCCCACGATCATAAACCCTAATTCAAGCCCACTTGATCGTCTACCTATACAAACTCTTCCTATATCTATATATCTCCACGATAACCAGAAAAATGTGTGAAAATAATCCTTCCTCTTAACGAGTATTGACGAATCAATACGTTTTGCGGGCACCGATCGAATCGATTCTTGAATATAACTCGTCTTTTGCTTATGTATGGATATTATTTTGATACATACAGAACTGCATATAGAGAGAGAGGGCCGTTGTTTTTCCTTTTCTTTTCTCTTCTTTTCGTTTTCTGTCTTCCTCTCCCAAAATTACAGATTGATTTTTTATTTCTTTCTATATTTTCCCTTTTTCTCTCTGTAATTATTTTTTTCGCATGATAATGAAAACTTGTTTCTTTTAATTGAATTTTCGCGCGTGACAATGGTGCGCGTAATATGGAATTTGGAGTGATTGTGACGGGATAGATAACAAAATTCCAGCAGAAAGCCAGCATGTTGAGAGAATCTACTAGAAAATATTTTGGGGTTTAAATTGTAATAAAAATGCTGTCAAGGGGAATTTTGAATAATTTAAATTGTTTTATCTTCAAAAGAGAGTTCGTTATGAGGTTCGTTAACTTCAAGTTATGACGAAAGATTTATTGATAGACTTTCATGTTAAAACCCTCAAAGTTTTGGAAGATTACAACAGTTATCAATGATTTTGTTGTTGAGGAGTTCTTAATCCCTAACAGCACACATATATTGCATGAATTTGATAACGATAAATTTGGCTTAGATCAATGCCGTATCCACCACTCACAAGTCAATATCTCATTCTGTCGCACCATCGCCATGTGTTACCCTATTGTGCAATTTTGAAGTCCCACATTACTTTGTGATACTAAGTGCCCCTTATTTTCATCATTTATAGTCACACCAATACGTAGATTCGTGCAACATTTCCACTTCAGTTGCCTCCATAAATTAGCAGTATTGTTATCGCCATACAATAAAAATTATCTTATCGAACCAACACATGCCATCTTTTCTTATAAGTTGTTACACCTCAAAATTGAGGTTCAAGAAGAAGCTCACACCTCAAAATCGAGGCTCGAGAAGAAGCTAAAACACTATGTAAATGGCCGTGAAATTGAAGCGTAGGCAAGTGGATGAAGCCCTGAGCCGAAGCACTATCTAAATGGCTGAAACTCTGAAGCCAAAGCCACTACATAGGAAGTCAAAGAAGTTGGGGCTCTCTATCTCGAACCTCTTCACACCGAAAACATCTAATACGAAACTCCTTTTAGCTTAAACCCTTACTGTCTTTTAGAGGATCTGACAATCTTTAAATATAATTGATGTAACGTTTATAATAATAAATGTCAAGATTGTCAACCTAGGACATATGATGGCTTACCCGTTGTCAATATATTAAATGTATAGCACACTGAGTGATGTGAGGTTTCGACCCGGAGATGGGGCCACGTGGTTGTTATCCAATGACTACCACATCGGCTAGAATTTCATAAAAGCTCACAACTTATGTCATTTGAAAAAAATGCAATTCTTTATACTTAAAACCATGCTCTATCTTATCTCTTGTTTATTTCATACTTATTTGATTGAGTTTAGATCACTTCACTTTGGTTGTTTCGTTTGTAATTGTTAGTTAAATATGCAATCACTTTCAATCATATTGCCGGTATTCGAACATTTATGTCTCGCATAGTAAAGTATTTCCCACGTCCATAAACCCACGAACCTTCTCCATTCGGATCTTCGCCCAAAACGTGTTGAAATTTGCTTGTGCGGACACGAGTGAGCTCAACATCTGTTACCCTCGTGACCATTACAAAAAAGAGGGTCAACACAAGTAATGACCCCAACCGAGTTTATCCTAATCTCAAGACTCCTTCATGCACCCGCCACTTGCCCATCGGTTGTATACTATAATAAAAGCGCACTCTTTTTGAAAAATATGTAAAATGATTTTTAATTTTTTTTCAAATAGATGAATAGTGTATCGAGAAAGCGAATTTGAATACGATTTTAGAATACAATTGCACGTCATTCTTCTGTTTTTTGTCAAAATAAGTTTATAATGTTTGTTATCCACTAAATTTCGATATTAATTGTTATTCTTGAACACGTCGAACTCGTTACTTCCAACATAAATCCTTTTTGTCAATATCCATTTAAGAACAAATATTCCACTGTTGTATTAAATGGTTTCCACAACAAAAGTTGATATATCTCAATGTCTTTATTTGATGCTCGATAATATTGGTCTTCGGGGTAAATAGGGTTTATTTAGGCCCTATTTGGTCCACATTATTTTTTTCATTCTCATTCTTCTACTCATTTTCAACCGCACATTTTTCAATAAAATAATATTTTTCAATTCTTCAATAACTTTTCTTTATCTTTCAACCACATATTCTCAATCACATCAACAGTAAAAATGCATTCTTACCTTCTAAATGTGAACCAAACGGGGGCTTAGTTATTCATTTGTCTTTTAAAGCCAAAAAATAATTATAATTTGGGCAATTATATTGAAACAACATGTTTTGTTAATTGAACCACACATTTCTATTGTAAGAAAGGGTCCTCGAATTTTTTGTTCATTTTGCTACATTCCCAACTTTTCTCATTGTATTCTTATATTTAATTTTTAACTAATTAGCACGTATAATCTCTGACGACAGTTTCCTTCAAATATTTTTTAAAACACATTGTACAACATTTAGCCCCTGTCTGGTACACATTTTGAGTCAAAAAATACATTTTTTTATTTAATGTGATGGAGAATGTGTGATTGAAAATGAAGGAAAAATTATTAATGTGATAAAAAAATATTATTTTATTGAAAAATGTGTGGTTGAAAATAAGTAGGAGAATGGGAATAAAAAAAATAATGTAGCTCAAAAAGGGGCTTAATATGAAAATTATAAAATTAATAATATCTTGACACGTGATAAATTTTGACAATATAAATGTTGAATCTTATTGCGAAATTTGTTTGCCTATGTTTGGCTCGTATTTATAAACATTCAAGTCTTTTTTATTCACTTATTTAGAGGGATTCACAATTTCACACGTACTATCCACTTCTCTATCGTTCACGTTTATTTATTTATAATTTAAATAGTTTATAAAACACTTTCGAAACAAGCTTCTGATTAGAATACAACTTAAAACCACAACAATTTTGAGTTTTTTTTTCCCTTCCAAATGTGGTTCTTGATCACAACTCCATGAAGATGGTTTACATAGTAGTTAACTATTCATCTAGTTAATGTTGGGCTTCGACTTTTTTTAATTCGTCTGCAAGTTTTACAATGTAATTTGAATTCACTTAGTTCATTTTCATTTTTTAACCAATCAAAAGTAGTATTGCGTAACTATTGCATAAGCGCGCATGCGCTAATGTATAGCGTACAACACGTGTTGGGTAATAAATAAACAACAACAAAAACATATTTAGCCCCTATTTGACTCACATTATGTGAGACGAAATTCTTTATTTTTCATACTCATTTTTAACTACACATTCACACAGTAAATATTTTGCATGTAAATCCAGAATCTTTTCCTTATTTTTTTAACAACACATTCTCCAAAAATTCACTATTCAAAATATAATTTTCTCTCAATTTTTCTCTATATTGGCAATCAAACAAGGACTCGGTAAATTTGAGGTACTAGAATTTTATCTTGACAAGAAAAGTTAAATATATATAGAAACAATCTTAGCATATGTTTAGTATCCTTTTTTTAAGTTTTCTATATTATTGAATTCCAACTTAATGCCAATCAACTTTGCGGCATCATACTATAGTGGAAAGTTAGAGCTTATTCAATATTTGTCGACATGTTACCTTAATTAAGTATATATCGATATATCTCTTTACTTTAAACCAGTGTTTTGAAATGCTTGCACATGTGTTGCATATGCCTGCATATGCTAGTTGCATTTTCGAAACACATCTCATATGAGATGTGTGCGCGATAATGCAGTGAACTTATTTCGTTGACCGCGTATACACGCTTAAACGAAAAAATGCCAACACATTTTTGTTAAAAAAACGTGTTAAAAGTAGTCTAACAATGTCCAACCCATCTTTATAACTTAAAAAAATTGCAAATTAAACCTACCAAATATCAAATTAGCATAAATCACCCAAACTCATTAATTATATACAGCATATGCAGGGTTTTACCGTTTATAAAA